ATAAAAGATTCTAGGAAGAATGATAAACATCCATTTCCTTGGACAGTTAAAACAACTGCAGCCTTTGAAAAATGTAAAATTGGTCTAACAATTCAGTGACGCTTGTTTGCCATGCTCCTGGTCAGCAGCTGTCATTAATGGTTGATGCCTTGGATGTGGCTCTTGGCGTGTTTGTGAAGTACAGTGCAATGAAACCTTCACTGACTCGCTTATAGATGGCCCAAGTAAAGTAATAAAAAGGGTTAATAAAATTTTTACACTTCTTATTAAGGGAAGAGAATCGATGAGTGGCATTGATTGCCTGAAGCCAGCATTTTTATTCTCAGATATTCCAGCATCAGTTTCCTCCTCCTGAACAGACTCCTACAGTAAATCCATTGGGCATTATGGTTAAAAATACCTGTACTGGCCAATCAAACACCACCAGTGTGTACTACGCATTTTGGCAGAAAGATCAAGTTTACCATGAGGTATCTCTGATGCCTTGTGTCTTTGGCATTGGAGAGGAATACTATAGCAGAACATTCTTATTGCAGCGAGTAGCAACATCCATTTTTGCTGCACAATGTGTGTGCATACTTGTAAGCGAATCATAAGCGAGTCAATGAATACTTGTAAGCGAGTACTCTATAAGCGAGTCAGTGAAGGTTTCATTGCACTGTACTTCACAAACATGCCAAGAGCCACATCCAAGGCATCAACCATTAATGACAGCTGCTGACCAGGAGCATGGCAAACAAGCGTCACTGAATTGTTAGACCAATTTTACATTTTTCAAAGGCTGCAGTTGTTTTAACTGTCCAAGGAAATGGATGTTTATCATTCTTCTTAGAATCTTTTATAAGAGAATGAAATGGAGCTTGGGTAGGCAGAAATTGCCGATATTGCCAATATTTACCGATCCGGCCTTAGCCAGAAATTGCCATGCTCCTGGTCAGCAGCTGTCATTAATGGTTGATGCCTTGGATGTGGCACTTGGCGTGTTTGTGAAGTACAGTGCAATGAAACCTTCACTGACTCGCTTATAGATGGCCCAAGTAAAGTAATAAAAAGGGTTAATAAAATTTTTACACTTCTTATTAAGGGAAGAGAATCGATGAGTGGCATTGATTGCCTGAAGCCAGCATTTTTATTCTCAGATACTCCAGCATCAGTTCCTCCTCCTGAACAGACTCCTACAGTAAATCCATTGGGCATTATGGTTAAAATACCTGTACTGGCCAATCAAACACCACCAGTGTGTACTACGCATTTTGGCAGAAGGATCAAGTTTACCATGAGGTATCTCTGATGCCTTGTGCCTTTGGCATGTGGAGAGGAATACTATGGCAGAACATTCTTATTGCAGCGAGTAGCAACATCCATTTTTGCTGCACAATGTGTGTGCATACTTGTCATAGCTTAAGGAACGAAAGCTTGAACTTTCACATGAAGAGACTCATTTCTTGTCTGTTCATAGTCAATGTCTGATTTCAGTTTACTGTTATCTTCATTTTAAGTATTTGTCCTCTTGCAGGATGCAGTTTTACTTTTTAAATATTCAATAAAATTGTTTTTGAATTGTTTATTGATGTTGTGCCTTTTTGAGTGACTTTCTGTTGTTTCTGGAGTATAATGGCAATATACCATCACCAGTTCCAAGAAAATTAAGTGAATGCCAAAATTTCTAAAATATATTTTAATTTATGAAATAACCTGAAGTTTATTTACACTTCAAGTGGAAGGGGAAAACTAAAATGTCAACACAACGTTTTGTGAACTAAGACTATAACAGTAACTTTACATATTTAAAAAGCCACAGTATAGTATTTAAAATCCCATCTCCAATTTAAAGTTCGACTATGAGTATAATTACTAGCAAAAAGTTAGATTTTGTCAAAACGAGTAAAGTTCTGTAGTTGTTGTTACTAATCTCCATGTCTAGGAATATATTAGGCGAGGTCCATGAGTCCATTCACCTTCAGAAAATCAAAAACAAGCTTAGGAGACTTGAAAAGTTCCTCAAGACACAACTCCGGGCACTCAAGGATATGTGCCGGTGATGCCATTGCATTTTGACATTTAGAACAAATTGGGTGCATCTTGAGACATCTCTCAAAAGTAAGTCCTTTCAGGTGTCCACTGAAGAATCAGGAAAGCGTTGTCTGAACACATCTATCGCAATCAATAGCAAGAGATCTTCCAGGACAATCAGCTTGATACCAGGGATGATTCGGAGGAACAAGCCAAATTTGCCTGTCTGCATGTCTTCCAATGGAATACAGTTCAAGTTATGTCAATGAATTGGTAACTGGTAATGGTTCTTCAGAATCTTCCTTTGCCAGAATGTCTGCCATTTCATTCCCCCATATGTCAACATAGGAAGGAATCCTTTGAAGGTGTACTTCACAGAGTGACGGGACCTGCTTAAGCTTGCTAAGAATTGCAATTCCGGCCCTATCACCAACTCTTCACCAGTTTGACAGATATTGGATGGTGCTACGACTGTCAGACAAAAACCATACTGCCTTAAGATCTGTAAAGGACGAAACAGCCTTTAGTCCCTCTTCGATGGCTATAAGCTCACTCTTAAAAACTGAACTGAAGTCAGAATTTCTTTTCTTTATTTTAACAATATTTCCATTTAATGACAACTCCACTACCGGAATGAGAGTCCTCGTGTTTACTCCCATCAGTATAGATAAGAGTAGCTTCAGCGGGAATTGTGTGTATAGTTTCTAAGGCAGATTATCGTAACAGGGCCGGAATATCATTTTTCTTAGAAACTCGAGACAAAAGTTCCGTATGAAACTTAACTCTAGGGAGTCCCTCAGACAAATCTAAACATTGTTTCAAGGAATGCTGCTCAACATTACGGTCAGTTATACCAGAATACTCAATTTGACTAAGTGGGCTATTTTTCTTAAGTCTTTGGTTATTACTCCAGTGCTGTAGGAACTCTGAAGTTCTATTTTGGGAGCCATAACTGAAAAGTTAATTATAATATTTTGCAAGGCCAACATTTCTTCTTAGGCTAAGGGGTTGAAGGTCTGTTTCATACAATACAATTTTATTTGGGCAACTGTTGTGTAAGCCAGTTATAATACAAGAAGCACTAAGTTGGACTCTTTCCAATTTCTGGAGGTTGGTAGAAGAGGCACAACAGTAAATGGGGAAACCATATTCCAAAATAGGTCGTATGATAGCTGAATAAGTAGTTCTCAAAGTGCAAGCATCATTTCCCCAATCACGTTCCAAGATATAGTACTTTAAAATGTTTAGTCGTTTTCTGCCCCTAAAAACTAGTGCATCCACATGTTTGTTATTAGTGATCTCTGGACCGAGAATGAAGTCAAATATTTGGGATGTTTGTCATATGTAAGAGGCAAATTATTCATAAAAAGTTTCGGATGATAATTATAAAACTTCTTATTGGTGGTAAAAAAACTAGCAATACATTTAGTTGGATTAAAACTCGATTTGTGGTTTTTCGAGAATTTCCACACTTCTTCAAGGATAAGATTTATATTGGTCTCAGTTGAACTCTCATCTGGGCCAGAGCTCTAAAGGGCGATGTCATCCACAAATAGCTCAACCTCACATCTCCTTGATATAATTTTCTCAATTCCAGCTAAATACAGACAGAAAAAAATTGGGCTCAACACAGAACCCTGGGGGGATGCCTTGGCTCAATTTAAAGGTGTTTGACATAGTGGAATTAAGCTTTACTTTTATCAGTCTATTTCTTAAGAAATCTGCGGTTCAGGTCAAAGCTTTATCCCTGATGCCAAAGTCTTCGTAGAGTTTAATAATTAGTTTATGTTTCCAGACACGATCAAGTGCCTTTGATAAATCTAGAAAAGCAGCCACAGTATGATTGGTATGTCACTTGTTTTCGGCATCTCTAATCTTCTGGCTAAGATAAACCAATTGAACAGTGGTGCTATGACCTCTTCTGAAACCGTATTGTTCTTTTGTTAGGAGGTCATGGGTATCCAGGTAGAAGAGCATCTGCCCCATAATAATTTTTCCATGACTTTACACGCAATGCTGGTTAGGGCAATGGGTCTGAAGCTCCCAGGAGACACATCGGTTTGGTCAGGTTTCTCAACAGGTATGCTTGTGGCTCTTTTCAACTCTTTAGGAAGGCCTCCAAGACTCCAAGATTGATTCACTATATTCAGAAATTTCTTTCTTGCATGAATGCCAAGATCTGGCCATGGATGTCACAGGTCCGAGAGTTTTGGTCAAGTCAAGATCCTCGAGTACCATCTCCAATTCATGCATGAAAGATTTAAAGACAAGGGGATTGCCTGAGACAGCACTACGACATCCATGTGCAAGATCTCTAGACCTGTAGTAAGCAGGTGAAGTATCAGAGTTATAGTACTGTTAGTTGCTGTTGCCACTCCTCTGCCTCTAAACTTATTCAGCTGTATTCTTACTCATTATTTAAATTCAGTCTTCATATCTGGCAGAGTTGACCAAAGGAGTAAAAGTGCATCAAAGATTTAATGATATAAATGACATGTTATTTAAAATTAAACCTTACAGACAGAATAAAAAGACACAAAGTTTCAAGATGCAGAAATGATTTTACAGCCATATGTAATTTCTCCTCTTGTAATTTTTGAATCATTTTCAAACCAAAGGTTTAAATTATGTAGATATTGTTGAGTATGAACTTCGGCATCCAAAGAGGAGTTGGGCAAGAAAAGTAAAGTCTGTTATTGTGAGGATTTAAATATTTGTTAAACAAATATGAGAGATTTCTTCACTAGGTGACTCGTGTGGGCACAGCATGGAATTTGATGTAATAAATATTGATTATGATGATATTTATCATGAGCTATCCTGTAATTGTGAATTGTTTAACCTGTCATCATTTTACATGAACCTGCAAAAATTTTTTTAATGATGTTTCATTTTATAAAGCTGTAAAAAATTAAAGAAATTGTAATTTTGAAAATGTATGAAAAAATGCACATAAATTTTATTTAGATTTATTTTTCCTATTGCAGATGGCGTACTTTGCTTTCTGTTGATGAAGGCGTGCTCAGCATTTTTAAAGTGCTTCGGGATACCAAGTTGTTGGATAATACTTTCATCTTTTTTACATCAGATAATGGTTTTCACTTAGGTCAGAATATTATACTATATTAGAAAATTGAAGTGTGTTTATTTATGTTTTTAAATAATAGAGAAGCTAACTTGTGTTATAATTTTGCTGAATTTGGATAATTTGATATCGGTGATGAGCTATGTAATGCAGAATTTTCTCTTTGTAAATCATATTAAAATTAATATGAAAAATCAATCTCCCCCCTTGAGCTCTTCCAGCAGCCAAGAGATTGAAGCTGCAGAAATATTGAAATTTGATTCTTGATTGCCAATCATATTAGTCTTTCCATGTGTTTCCTTATGTATGGTATAAATATAAAACAGTTTCTCTTGAAAAATCCTTTGTAGCTCCCTAAGGCAGTGTACTTTACGATTATTAAATGCCAGTCAGTCAGTTACGGTGAAAATTTGATTTTTGGATTTTTGTCACAATTGTATAGAGCCCTTCATTTGAACAGGCCCACAATAGTTTTCAAAGTAATAAATCTGTTAAGCTGATTGGGTCTTAGTAGTTAAGTTGAGTCGCACTTAAATCTGCCATTGATCACAGCTATCAATTTTGTTTAATTACATTATTTAGATATTTATGCTAGGTTATCCTAGAATAAGATTTCAAAAACCAAATGTTTCAAAAGACTCTTACAAGTCTTAGACCATAAAATATATATCTAATAAAAGGAAATCAAACTAAGCTATTTAACTTGGTTAAAATAAGTGGGGTAAATGTAAAGTTATTATGTAGATACAAACTGCATTTTTAAGATATTATTTGCAGTGTGGGCACAGCATGAGATCCTTACTCAATTAGAGATTTCACATACATTTCAAGCATTCCTCTTAATGTCTCACTTATTTATGAAATTTGTATGGATAAAAGTGGTCACATTAGATGTTAAAAGTAAACATCATTTGCTCAAGCTATCATGTAACTGGCACTTGCTGATATTAGAAATGTCTTTAAAGAAATCTTTCAAAAATGTTAGATAGGCATTATATTACATTACGCTACCATGCCATTTATCATGCATATGACTAATGAAATTTTCATTTGATGACTTGTAAGATCATTGATATATAACCTGGTCTGGCAATAGATGGTTTCCATACTGTTGCCACTTCTTGTGATATAAAATGAATGATCAAATGATAACTCAAATGATAACTGCTTAACAGGCAATACAATAGAAAAGCAATGAACTTAATTATTTAAATCTTTATTTTTATTTTTAAGTACACCAGGTACAATATCATTTTATATGATTTTAAATACATTTAATTTATTATGAATCCAATTTAGTTATGAATATTTGCATTCCTTTAATCTCTGATCTGTGATTTTATTAAGTTACTAAACTGTGCAGCTTTATATACTGCTAATGAAAATATTGAGATCATGCTGTCAAGTTTTTTATGTGTCTAATTCTGAATGTTAACATGATTATATTTATTGCTGTTTGGTTCAGTGAAATTTATGCTCTTTATGAGGTTAAATTTATAATTAAGTCATTTTATTCTAGACACTGTATTTATTTTTTTATGTAACTGCACAAAGTCTTTTCATTGTAAAATATTTTAAAGCAGTGAATGGTCACATTCTTACGATTAGAATTCAATATAGTCTTATTCCCATTTTAGTACTGAAATTTTCTCTTCTCTTACCCTTCGTATCACCTTTTTTTTAGGGCAATTTTCTTTGCCGTGGGATAAACGACAGCCATATGAATTTGATGTAAAAGTTCCTCTTCTGATTAGAGGCCCTGGAGTGGAGAAAGGAATAACAATTCAGGTAAGCCGTAATTTTTAAATCAATAAAAATGAATCTGTCATGCTGCCAATAAAAGTCATTTTTTATCTTTTAGCAACCAATGTTAAATATTGATCTAGCTCCTACCTTTCTGGAACTTGCAAACATATCAATTCCTGAGGATTTAGATGGTAAATCGTTTGCTACTTTGCTGTTAAATCCAAACTCAGATGTCAAGTTGAGATCAAGTTTCATAATAGAACATCAGGGTGAGGCTAGTGATAAGCTTATTCCTGGATGCCCACAATACAAAGCTGAAGAAGTGCATGTAATGCATTTTCCCCATTTCTTTCTTTATGCAAAGTGTTCTTTCTTTATGTAAAAAAATTCTTTATTAATTATTATAATTATTTATGGTTTTATGTTTTCCCCTTAGACATGTGAAATTGATTGTATATGTGAGGATTCACGAAACAATACTTATGTTTGTGTACGAGAACTTACTCAAGAGAAAAATTATCTGACCTGTCTTTTCAAAGATGATGAGGTAATTTTATTTTATATATTGAAATAGTATATTCATTAAAAATATCTCGTAATATATCTTAAATGTTATTCTGCATATGACCAGTTACTGTTTTGAAAGTATGTGAAAGAGTTTTGATGTTATTTTCGTTTTAATTAATCTTAATTACTAAAAAAGATGCCTAGAATATCTATAAAAATTTTCTTTATACTCACTTTTTTATCACACTGTTATTAAACTAATATTAAGCACATTTTAATGATTGATATACATTTTATATCTACTCTCTGATGGACTGTTAAGATTTGAAAAAACCCAGCTGCTTTGACTTCTGCTAGGTAACTGTTACAGGTTCAGGTTAAAGTGTAGCAAACACCCATTAGTTACCGTTGACAATTTGGGCTGTTGTCTAACTTGTGCTATCTATTTTTATTTGAACATTAGTTCTGAAGAATTTTCACATATAGTTAGTGTGATTAGGGTAGATGGAGCCATTCATACTTATGTTAGTGTATGTAATGGTAAATACATAACAGTACTTTTTTTATATATATCTAATAATATGATTGTACACATTCATGAAGACAGCATTTTGTATGAAAACTATTTCTTAGAAAATTTTGATCCTTTGTTTTGCTGGATGCTAATGGGTGTTGTGTGGTACTGTTGTGATTTTGTCAATTCTAGTGTGCATTTTTTATTTTTTCCATTAGTCTTTTTGACAAGTAGGTCATTTTGTCGTTTCTATTTTGCATTTTTGAAAATTGCAATGTGTTCATTATTTACTCATCTTGTACTGCACAGTTCCTCTCCTATACAAGGAATATGACTGAGAGTTCTAATTTTCTTCTCTGTTTTTTGGTATTTAGGTGCTGGTATATATTGGACTTTAAAAGTTTTAAGTGATAGTTTTCTGTTAATGGACGCTTGATCTTGTACTGGTGAGGGTTGCCCCTTTCCCCACCAGAATGAGCTTTTGTAAAAATGAGTGTGGGAGGGGCCATATCCTGTCATAAATCAATTGATTAGATAGTTCATACTGGTTCTGTCTGTATTGATGTGAGGTTTCAGCTGGAAGAGTCTTCTCCTTTTATCACTATCTTTTCACTCTTCTTTCTGTACTTGTTCCCGTAGGAATTTAGGCTGATGTTTTATCCGGAATTTGAAGTTATTAGATCTGCTTATATGTTAGTAATAGCAGATTTTATTGCATCAGCAGCTTCTTCGTTTCTAGAAATCTCCATGTGAGATTTAATCCATGAAATTATTAGGGTGTATATTGGGATTCAAAGTGGAGATATCATAGATATCTTGGATGATCAGACCATTATGTTTAATATTTTTCATAGCTAAAATCATGGACTGGTTGTGTGTATATATTTGAACTTATTTGAGTTCATTTTCGGCACAGTATTGTAGAGCCCATTTTTATTGCTGATAACTCAGCTTTCAAAACACTATTTTGCTATATTTGAAATTATTACTATCTCCAAGTATAACTGTTTGTACTATTTTAACTTAAGAATAAATATGAATGATGCATGCACATCTGACTCCTTCTTCCATTTTAGAGCCATCTGTATATGCTCATGGGTAGTAGTCTCTTATTTGTGTATCTTTTGCAATACAGTTAGTTGATTTTTGTATGGTGTATTATCTGGGTGCTTTCTGTATGTATTACAAGGAGATTCATAATTGGTATGTTCAAAGATTCTATCTTTTATGGAAAAATTTTTTGTGAGTCTTAAAGTCATGCCTTTAATGTGTTCTCCTTGTGCCTTTATGTTCAGGGGGCCTATTCCTGTTTTCACAGAGATTGGGAGTATTCGGAGTATTAGGTGTTCTTGTATTGTTCCTTTTAATGTTGGTCTTGATTATCTTGTGATAATTCATCTGAAGTAAAATCGTTGTTTCATTATTTCCATTATTGTTGCAATGGTAGTTGTCTTGTGATGAGCTGTTTTATCTTGTCATTGTGAGTCTAAGTTGGGTAAGGCTGAAGACCTGTTTTCACAGATTTTATAAATAATACCGTATGTGTCTTTATGAATTGTGCAATGTTTTTTACAACTATAATTTTTGGCTGTCAGTATTTTCTTTTTATATAGGGCTTTTTATTTTGAGAAAAGAATGTAAGCTTCATCTCTTGTTTCTTTTGAAGGAGCTTTTTTTTCTCATTATCGTTGCAACGGTGTTATCATCTTTTGATGAACTGTTTTATCTTCTTGTTGGGATTCTTAAGTTCGGTAAGGCTGAAGACCTTGTTTGCACAGATTTTATAAATAATACCATATGTGTCCTTATGAATTGTGAAATATCTTTTACGACTATTATTTTTGACTGTCAATATTTTCTTTTAATATAGGACCTTTTATTTTCAGAAAAGAATGTAAGCTTCATCTTTTGTTTCTTGGGAAGAAGCTTTTTTCCATTTTATGATACAGAGCTCTAGACTAACTAAGCACTTTAAATCACAATTGTATGCTTGCACGCAGACAGACGGATAAATTCTTAATTATTTAATAATAGAGATAAGATGAAATCCATTTCAGATACCATGGTTGTGACAATTTGCTTTACCTTTCCTTTGACATATGTCAAATGTATTCACCCAGACCAGATTATACAGATTAAAATTTTGAAAAAGATTATTTAAAAAGCTAGATAGGTTAACAGCAATTCATGCTTATCGGAGCAAATGTTATGTGCTGCCTTGAATAAAGATTTGTGCCAGTTTGCAATGGTTGGAGGCCTTACCAATTCTACTTGCCATATGAGTTGGTAAGTGATTTAAGGTGCTTAGTTGAAGAAACAAATAAGTGCAGAGTTTATGAGATAATTGTAAAATTTATCAAAAAAAGGAAAGTTGCCTAGATTTTGTTACCATATTCTCAGTAGATTACTGACTATTTTGTATAGTTTAGTTTAGCTTTAAATGTAATCTACCAAGAAAAGCTAAATAAAATGCTATTTAGTTTTAATCTGTCTGTGCATGAAAGTTGATAAGAAATTCAGTTAAACTCATATTTAAGAAATAGCTCTTCTTTGCAGCACCATTGGGTAGAGACACTTGTAAGAATAATTGAGCAATAAAGTTATGTGACCAGTAAAAGAGTTTTGTGATGTATTTTTACCCAAGTTTTATTGAGATCTACTTTTTCTTTACAACTCTTTTGATGCTAGTTTTAATTCTCATTTTCATTCTTCTTCATTTTATTGCGCTGCTCATCGCTTAATGGCAGAAGTGCCACCGACAGGCATGGGATTTAAGAAAAAAAGAAAAAACTTCTTCAGCTCTAAAAACCACCAAATAAAAGAATTGTTACTTTTATATTTCATAATGTGGTCTATTCCTGATTGTTTCTTGCATTTGATCTTCATCTAATATGCTTTATCTGTTTTGTACCGAAAAAGTTCAAATTTGGATTTCATCTGCAGAGAGTACTTTTATCTTTTGCTCAGTTGCCAATTCTCTGCAATTTCTAGAAAACGTTATTTACTTTATTACTGTTTCATGGTCTAATTTCACTTTACTAATCTTCAACTTTTCTGTGTTTCCCCCCTTCTGAAATTTGTTTTGTAACCTTAGAGAGAGAATCGCATATGAAATAGTAGATTATTGATATCATTTCTCAGTTCCAGTAGCAGGCAATTTTCTGATCACTGCTTTAAATACTATTTATGTAGATCCAATGGAAATAATATGTGACCAGTTAATGAAAAAAAAGTTAATGTAAAATTAAAAATTATACAAACATTTTTTATTTTGTTGTATAGAATGGGGGAGGGGAGGGAAAAAACCCTATGTTTTGCATAATTTTAAATTGTAAGGGGCTGTTTGGAATTTGGGAAAGAAAGAGGGAGAATGAAGCCATTACTCTTGCAATTCATACTATAATAACATTTTTAGAAGTTGTAATTGTTTAAAAGGGATAAGTATAGCTTGCATTATTCTGTTTTGTACCATAAAAATGTACTTGTTTTAATTTTTTTTTCTAATTGCCTAATCTTCTTTAAATATATTCTGTTTTTAGACTAAAATTAAAATTATTGCTTCATTAAACTTTATACTGATGATCCTTTTCATCTTTATGTATTTCAGGATTTTATAGAAGCATATAATCTTACTGAAGATCCTTTTCAGATGAGGAACATTTATCCACATGCAAAAGAAAGGGATGTTATTCGAAAATTTTTGAATAATTGAATGTTTGAATTTTTATTTGCAGAAAAAATCGTAAATGTAATTTTTTTTTATTTAACTTGCTTTGTATATTTATTTGTCTCAGATATTTTAGAAATGAAAATTAACTGACTTCTGCTTAACATAGGTACCAAATCTTTCAAGGTAGGCAAAAATCCAATGACAATAAACTTTTCTATCATTTTTAGAGTTAGCAACTAATCTCATTGGAATTTTCAGTTTGTTATTATTTTAACAATATTTTAATTGGGAGAAATATTGAATTGATTTTCAATTTTCGTAACATTTTTTAGTTTTCTTAGTTTCTTCTTTCTTATTTAATGAATTCTTAAGTTTTGCAGCCATCTTGAATGTACTGTGCTGATGCTTTTTCAGAAATTGTTTGAACAATGTTTTTAAATCTCTGCAAAGTAAATTCAGTAACTTCTTTTCCAAAATAATCATTGCTTTCGTTGGATTTAAACTGATTTTCCACATAGTCAAACTGAAATTATTTTTTAATTCTTGGCATATTTTTGCGAACTAGAATGTCATTAGCTTAAACTTTGATGAAGTGATAATGTAATAAAAATTTATTTAATAATTATGAAAAATTGAAAGGATATTCAAATATAAAAATCCAAAATTTAAGGTTTTTGTTTAATTGTTACATAATCATTTTTTTAACAAATGATTTCCTCAAGATTATTTCAAATGATCTTTCTTTTTGAATATGAGAACAAAGCCAGTGGACCAGTTTACTGCTTTTTGTTTATGAAACTCTAACTATGGACATTGCAAAATTTAGCAGTTATGATGACCATTTTGCATCTGCAATCTTGAAATATAAATATTTTTTTCAATATCAGAAGGAAAGCGGTAAATTAACTGTTTTCTGTGTATGGAATCTAATTTCATGGTGTAATGGATTGACTCATAATTTTCTGTACCAGAAAGCTTATATTCAGTGTAAGAACTCTAAAAGTTTCAGCACCATCTCGAATGTTGTCGTTTTCAGTATCTCAGGAACAAAGCTCCACAAAAACAATGACTTGATTTGTTATATATGAAAGTTATCTTAACTGCAAATCTTAAGAGATTTGGAAATACATTGGCCATCTTACCTTTTGAAATGTAACATACAGTTGTAGAGACATTAGGTATTTTGGAAGCAGAAGTGATGAAAAAATGAGCGATGCGCACCCAGCATGCAGACCGCCACACCACAAAGGTATGCCAAGATGGCGGGAGAAATACCTTTTAAAGGGCAACTGGGGTTTTTAGGTGACCCAGTTGCCAAATCCTGGGTGTGGAGAATCATCATCCACCACCCTTTTAGTTCGGGCACCACTGTAGGCATTAGGTTATTTTTTAAAGCAAGAGAGATTGAAAAAAATTAGCAGCGCCTTCGCTGGGAATCGAACCGCGGACCTCTGGAATACGCGCACTTTTTAAAGCAAGAGAGATTGAAAAATTAGCAACACCTTTCCCGGATCTCTGGAATATGCGCCACGAAGACATGCCAAGAAGACGAAGAAACACCTTATATACTCCCCCTTCTTAAAGGGCAACTGGGGTTTTAGGGGACCCAATCGCCAAATCCTGGGTGGGGAGAATAATCATCCACCACCCTTTTAGTTCGGGCACCACTGTAGAGACATTAGGTATTTTTTGAAAGCAGAAAAGACGAAAAATTAGCAATGCCCTCGCCTGGAATCAAACCACGGACCTCTGGAATATGTGCCCAGCATGCAGACGACCACACCACGAAGCATGCCAAGAAGGCAGAAGAAATACCTTATACATTAGTATATAAAAATTTGGTACAATTAATAGTTTTGTGGAAAATGTGCCAGTATTTGAAACTGTAACTCAGCAGAAACAAAGGTTTGTACATAAACATTTACAGGAAAATTCATGAATTTTAAACATGCTCAGAGAAGTAAATTCAGTTTAGAATACATTAAGGTTGAAAGCAGTAAAATAAAACATGTGAATTTTTTTTAATGTTTATTTATAAAATGTGCTGAAAACTATTAATCATTATTTTAATAGTCTATGAACTCTTATATGGACTGTGTAAATGTTCCTAATTTAGCAGAGCTGCAGATTAGATGAAGAAATAATTAATTGTTTATTATCTTAAAATCGTCAATATCTTATGTTTCATATTGCATATACAAAAAAAAAAAAAAAAAAAAAAAAAAAAAAAAAAGAAAAAGCAAAAAGTTATGCAATGCAGCAAATATGTTTGGAAACTCCAATGGACTCCAAAACATAGCTAAGCAGCTCACTGCGTTCCTTGCGCTTCGCATTCGTTAAATCTGATAGTAAATAGTGTTAGTGAATCATGTTTACAAGCAATAACATATTTTAATTTACTGAAGAATGCTTGTTCATTTTTTTGGGGGGGGGGTTCTCATAGGTGAAACATTTTAGGGGGAAAAATTAAGGAAAATAAACATTTTACAGTATGAAGTCATGTACCTGTTAGATCAGAGGTTCCCACTTATGTCGTCCCGCAAACGGGCTGGCTGCATGGGAGTTTTTGTGGTTTTACCCATGTGTAACGTGTATACGAGCCAGTTTTCCTTAGAAAGTCCTCTACGAAGGCATCCTTTCCATTTGGCAGATAGCCCTTGAGGCTTTGCTGTAATCTTGTAAAACCAAAATCAATCCCACTGAGGTCGATAAAATTTTAAAAGGGGTTGATAGGCGAATATGCACCGGTAAAAGATTGGCATACGAGATCCCATTGATTACAAAAAATATTAAATTGATAATTAATTATTCATTGATATAGTGCTATATCATGCTGTGAGGAAGAAATCGTATAAAATAAATCTAAGGAATAAAATACCCTAAAATCATTTAATGAATTTTAAAAATCAATAATACTTTTTTTTTTTTTTTTTTTTTTTTGAACACATAAAGCTTTATGCGATAAGTGCAGTATAAAGAGGTAAAGTGCAGAAATACACAAAAAATACGAAGAACGCAAAACAAATGAACGACAGCAAAATCTACGTCTATTCTTTCACCCATGCTGGCCGTTAAATCTTGTTAAGACAAGTTCTGGTCAAATGCCAGTTACGTCATCAATATATAAGTGTACCCTTTACGTAGCTTTGAATGGCTTTGCTTTTACGCGACTATGGGATCGCAGAAATAAAAGTTACCACAATTTTATTCTTCGCAAGGAGGTATGTTGGCTCTCCAAGAGTTTGCAGCGTATATTATTTTTAATAATATCGTGATAGAATTTTTCTTTGAAGTGAACAACCCTACACCAATTCAGGTATTCAGTTAAGCAATTTTATGGCAAATATTAAAAGAAACTGGCCCAGCGGACTATTATTTTTTCAAACAATTCCCAAAACCTACCTCGTAGCTCGGGTGTGTCTATTTGAAACAAACAAGAAGTCGTCAGCATGCACAGTAACTTCTAATGTTTCATCATCATCAAACCGCTTGAGCGATGTGTCTGCTATGAGGCTCCACAGGAGTGGACCTAGGCAGGAGCCCTGCAGGCAGCCTTTTATTACCTTTTGCGTGTGGATTCCTCCGTCCGTTGTAGCTTGAATTCGTCTTTTACTCAGGCAGCTGTAGATTAAATCAAATGAAGTTTTGGAGCAATTAGAATCTTTGAGACATTTTAAAACATCATGCCACCACAACGAATCGAATGCATCTTGGATGTCTATGCTGTATGCAGTCTACAGTATGCAATCTATGATGCTTGTTTCTAAGTACCGTATGTTGACAGGTGATTCAGTGCACGATCCACTGACTTCTCTGCTACAAAGCCATATTATCTAGTATTTATGAGTTTATTAGCATGAATGTAAAATTCAGTCTTTAAAGTATTATTCTTTTTCGAGGATTTTCTCCATGGCTGGGAGCAGGCAGATGGGCCTATAAGAGGCCTCCTCGTTTGGATCTCGATTTCCCTTTAGGAAGAGGGCAACGTCTGCAGTTTTTGTGCTCTCTGCAAAGTAGCGAATTCTCCAGCTCGCCTATATGTATTAGAAAAGTACCGGATGCGTGTTATACATAACTCTGGGAATATCCTTATCAAGCCCTGGGGCTTTATTCGGATTTTTTTGATTATGTCATTCAGTTCCTTTCTTATTGGAAGAGTTTCGATGTCAGCAATGGACGAAGTGTAATATTGTTTCAATACTAGTTCGTATTCCCTTCTAGACAGTGGTGTCTTGACGGAGGTCATTGTGCTGGAAAATCGTTTCCGGTATGTTTGTCACAGTTTGTGAACTTGTGTTGTCATTTTGTCGGACTGACGCAGTTTGAATGATAGGTTTAGAGATCTTATCACGAAGCAACTTTGAATATTCTACCAATTTCAGTTTAGCCATTTCAAAGGCTAAACTAGAATATTCTACCGACATTCTAGTTTAGCCTTTGAAATTTTCCGCTTGTAGGCTGCGCATTTTTCCTGAATACCATTCTAAATGCCTCTCTTTCATTTGGTTTGCGGCAATCTTTGAACTTGACTCTGTTCTGCCGCTGATATGGAATTCCACCACAGAGTTTTATTTAGAACCGAGTGACTTTGCTGTTTAAGTACTTTATTAGAGACCATATGCAATGCATCTAATATCATACTGTATCCGTATCGAGCTCTATTTTTTTATCATTTGCATTACCGCCAGCTGAAACTAAATGAGAAACATGGAGCTCCAAGGTGCTGCCAAATTTCTGAGAATTTATCTTTTTGTTTTACATATATTTTTAACTGCGCATTGGTGTTCTAAATCAGTGTCGAAGCTAATAAAGCGGTGGTTGCTTAATGATGGGCATTCCAGCTGTGGGTTCTTGGGTAAATGGTAGTAGTTGCCAGTGTAATATCTGGCCAGCTTTCTGCCCGTCTGTTGCAGAAAGTTGGGCGACTGTCAGTTGAATCAACTATCGTCAGGCCATCGGATGTTATGAAGTCCAGAACTGGCACTGCTTTTCTGTTTTCTTCCGGTGCACCCCAAAGAGGGTTTGTGATATTGAAGTCTCCCCCAACAATTTTGCTGCGAACCGGAAGTTAAGCTACGTGTTCTAGTCAAGGAGCGCTAATGTGATGTCATATGAAGGCGGAATATGAACCTTTGTGAAAGCAATGTTCCAATTAGGGCTGTCAAGCTGAATGGTGATTGAGTATTTGTACATTAATAACGGCGTGAGCGGACCGTTGTACATCACTGCTGCTGTATTACTGATT